TACTAGATTTGCATCAGAAAATGTGATGTTCGACTCGCCAGTTCGAGCCCTCCTTGCTGGGCTGGCCCCCATTTCCCTCGGCCACCTTTCTCGTGAATGCTACTCTTTTGAGGTCGGACTCAAGTTTCCTGGATGTCGGACGCTCCAGTGGGCACACGTGAATCACGTTTATGACGTTGTCTTGCACAGTAGCCGGAGTAGAGGCATGACCCTCTTCTGATTTAGGCTCAATGTACTCTTTCAGATGTTTGTCCCGGACCAACCTCTCCAGGAAAAATTTGTACACTCTGTAATTTTTGGTACAATGACCGAAGTCTCGGTGATAGGAACATCTGGCCTTCTGGTCCTGGGTGAACAGATCACCCTGAATCTTAGGCGACCATCTGAATAACGGTCCATCCCTAATCTTAGTGAGCAATTTGTAAATAGGCTCTTTAAACACAGTGTGAATCCCTTTAAAAGAACTTCCAGAGGGGGGTACCAATCCCTTTCGGAAGGAGGTGTCCTCTTTTTTCTTGTCTTTCCTCTTGGAGGTAAAGGTCTTGTCTTCAATTCTGGAGTACTTGTTTATTCGAGCCATCAATTCGTTCATGTCTGAGGGGGTCTTCTTAGTCAAGGACCGGTACAAATTCGTATCCCTTGCCAGGCCGAGCCTAAAAGACGCGGTTGCCATGACTTTCGAACATCCCTCCACCTCATTGACGTCTTTCTAGTAACAGATGGCATACTGGCAGAGGGTTTCCCCTTCCTTCCGTCTGAGTGTTAGCAAGGATCCAATATCTTTGGGCCGTTTACTCCCTATAATGAACCGAGCTGAGAACTGTGTGGTTAATTCCTTCTATGACCCAATANTGTGATTGTTATTTTTTCAGGATCTCCTCCAGAGTATGCCCCTTCTCCTGGGTGAAAACCCCCGTTCTAACAACCGAGTAAAAGCAGTTCTTTGCGGACGTTTGGTCCCCTCGGATCTCTATCACCCCCTCTGGGGTGGAGAATTTCAACTTCTGGTGATAAGTGGAGTGCACCACCCCTAGCGCGTGTAACCAGGCTCGCGCCCATGATTACGTTGTAAGGTGAATCTGTATCGATCACGACAAATTCTGTGTTGATGGTAAAAGGCATCGTGATGACTGACAATGTAACTTTACCCATGGGCAGGGCAAATGAGCTGTTAAATCCGACGAGGGGCGTCCTAACCTTGGTGAAGTCCTTAGGGCCGAGCCCCATACGCTTTAAGGTCTCAGAGTACATTACTTCAGAAGAACTCCGGGAATCCACCAGCACTTTCTTAACATCAAATTTGTCAATCTTCAGCGTTAAGATCAGGGCATCGTTATGGGGGGTGACCACGCCTACTAGATTTGCATCAGAAAATGTGATGTTCGACTCGCCAGTTCGAGCCCTCCTTGCTGGGCTGGCCCCCATTTCCCTCGGCCACCTTTCTCGTGAATGCTACTCTTTTGAGGTCGGACTCAAGTTTCCTGGATGTCGGACGCTCCAGTGGGCACACGTGAATCACGTTTATGACGTTGTCTTGCACAGTAGCCGGAGTAGAGGCATGACCCTCTTCTGATTTAGGCTCAATGTACTCTTTCAGATGTTTGTCCCGGACCAACCTCTCCAGGAAAAATTTGTACACTCTGTAATTTTTGGTACAATGACCGAAGTCTCGGTGATAGGAACATCTGGCCTTCTGGTCCTGGGTGAACAGATCACCCTGAATCTTAGGCGACCATCTGAATAACGGTCCATCCCTAATCTTAGTGAGCAATTTGTAAATAGGCTCTTTAAACACAGTGTGAATCCCTTTAAAAGAACTTCCAGAGGGGGGTACCAATCCCTTTCGGAAGGAGGTGTCCTCTTTTTTCTTGTCTTTCCTCTTGGAGGTAAAGGTCTTGTCTTCAATTCTGGAGTACTTGTTTATTCGAGCCATCAATTCGTTCATGTCTGAGGGGGTCTTCTTAGTCAAGGACCGGTACAAATTCGTATCCCTTGCCAGGCCGAGCCTAAAAGACGCGGTTGCCATGACTTTCGAACATCCCTCCACCTCATTGACGTCTTTCTAGTAACAGATGGCATACTGGCAGAGGGTTTCCCCTTCCTTCCGTCTGAGTGTTAGCAAGGATCCAATATCTTTGGGCCGTTTACTCCCTATAATGAACCGAGCTGAGAACTGTGTGGTTAATTCCTTCTATGACCCAATACTGTTGGGAGGGAGAGTCTCGAACCACTTCATAGCGGAGTCTCCCAAACTCATGGAGAACATCCGGCATAGAAGTCGTTGGTCCGAGTGGTATAGGGACATCATTTGCTTGTATTGTCTGAGGTGAGTTTCAGGATCAGATTGTCCATCATAAGTTTTGAACCTTGGCACCGTAAACTTTTTTGGTACCTCCATCTCCCAGATATCCCTAGTAAAAAGGGATTGTATGGTTTCATCATCTGCGTCGTCCTGGACAATCTTCCTCCTTCTTTTGGAGTCCAGCTGAGCTCTGAGGTCAATTTCCAACTTAGGGGGAGACCCTCCAAGGTCTTCGTGTTGGTTGATGTGGTGCCCCCTTCCTGTCGAGTGGAGAGGGTTGAGTCCTCCTCGAATTCCTCCACGTCCCCTCGTCTGGATAGTCCCCGACGGAGGTCATCCCAAGCCAAAGGCCTTACCTTCTTAACATGACCATGCAAGGGGTGCTCCTTGGCTCTTGGACGCTTTGGGGTCCTGGAACTTTCAACTTTGTTGTTCAAGTGATTTCTCAGGTCCTCGATTTCCACTTTCCTGACGGAGTGTTCACGAGAACGGAACGAGTCCCTAGATCCTTCGCCGGAAGCAGCAAACTCATTGAGACAGCTGAGAACGTTCATGTTGTCCTCTTCTAACCGCCGTAATCGACCCCAAACTTCTCCTCGATCACTTTTGCCAGTTGACGAGCCAATGGGCCGGATCCTCTAGATCTGATGCTCATATTGGTTTGGCGGGTATGCCCCCTCGATTGAATGGAAATATTCCTGTCTACACCATCAACTTGATCCTTCATTCCGGAACTAGAAGGAGCTTGCAAATCGAGGTTCTTCTGCTGGGGACCCTTCCCTTTCTGTCGAGTATTCACCATGGTCACTGTTCTTTGAAAAAACTAGTCATTTCTCATAGACGGCGCCAGATTGTGCGCGCTGATTTTCGCACAACAGTAGAAGTAGGAACAGATCTCTCCCACGATGAACTGTGGTTCGACAAAACAGTAATTTCAGCGAAATGGAAGGTTTGCTTTCAGAATCTCTGGTCGCCTTAGGCAGAGTTTAGATCCATCCGAAATTGGGTTTTGGCAACAAGAAGTAGGTTGAGGGGGACAAAGGAGCCCTAAAGACTAATGATGAATTGTTTGTTGGGTCGCCTGACCGGTCCTGAAAAACTGTAGGGGGATCTTGTGACACAGAAAAACAAGTTAGAAGGGTGTTGGAGTGCTCTCCGGCGTATCCCCTACGACGATCAAGTCAGTTCTGCGAGAGAGAGGGGAAGAAAAAAGCACTGTGATTCTTTTTAGGAGTTCTTGCGTACCTTTGCAATATATTTTTGAGGACTATTTATACCTTCAAAAACTCATCATTGCTGATAATAGAGCTAGTAGACAATCATTAGAGATGGGGCAGTGTTCCCCCTTTTCTTTAGTAGGGAATGCATTCAGCCTTAACTGCTAGAGACGCTGAGCAATTGATGCTTTCTCCTCGGCCTGTCGAGTATTCAATGCTCTTCCCTTGGCGAGGGAGTATTAAATGCCCAGGCATGGGAGCATTTAATGCCCTTCACTTCTCGGCCCCCATGCCTTAAGTGCTGTCCTATCAGGAAAGGGATTCATTAAATGCATACTTGCTCTAGTCATGTGTCAGCAGGGATATCCAGGTCTTTTTGCTACTAATTTGATATCAAATTCCACGCGTCCACTCCTCCTTGGTTGTGTGTTCTGCATCCCTGCTCTTCTTGACACCATTGAGCAGAGCGTCTTCATGATGATTAGCCTAGCCTGCCCTAGGTTAGCCATCAGTCAATCATTATCTTTCGTAGAAGCAGAAGGAAGGTTGGATTCAGCCTACAGAAGGAACACCTCTGCACCGAGGAACATTTGTCTATCTCGGGTTCAAGTATTTTTGCCGAGCCGAGAACACGTGTATTGACCACTCCAATGGGGGGATCTCTCGGCTCCGAGCACTATGGCCTCGGCTGATGGGGATGAGTGTCGCTGAGGACCCGTGGCCATTCCTGATTGGAAACATAAAGGATGTCGAGGACACGTGTCGCCGATCTATCTTTTTTCAGAAATGTCCCATCACATACAAACCAATTGGAGGTAGATTTTGCGAGGAAAGCACCCATAGCTCTTGGATGATGTCAAGTGTCAAATTTGACCTTTGCCGCACAAGCAGATGACTCCATCTAAATTACCATGCTGCTCTATTAATAGCGATGCTGATAAGAAACAAACTAACAAACAACTCATCAACGAAGTACCATATCAAAAAAAACAAAGACAAAAGACAGGCAGGATAATACATGGAGGGAGTAATTACCCTTGATCATGGCTTCATTTAGTTTTTTGGCAGTGCATAACAGCATTATGCATCATCCTTTAACGAAAAGCAACTCATTTTGAGCTTCTGCAAATGGAACCAAGGATGTTACCACTTGCCATCAATAGAGACTCAAAGGGGAACCAAATCCTGATGATAGACAAGCGATATAATGAATACTGGGCAGTCAGTCGAGAATAGGGTGAAGCACGGGGACGGATCGAGGAATCTAATTTCAGTTTTTGTCTGGTGGGGTGGGGGTGGAACGCTGCACAGCCAAAAAAACTTGCAGAGAAATTTTGAGCTACAATTTAGTTTTCCACCAACACTAAAAGGCAAAATATTATACAAATATACAAACAGATATTCTTGACAAGATATATAATTACAAAAAAATGATCAAGATACAACTGAGCAAGTTCTGTTCATCCAAGTCGATTTAGTAACTAATGCTCTATGATTCTATCTATATTGTACATACTAACGTTAGCCAACTGAAGCTGTGGTCACAACTATTTCATGATATAAAACGCATCTACAATAGATTCAGTATCAAAATTGTAGGAAAGTGTTTTCTCAATGTGCGCGATCAAGTAACTTGCCAGAAAAATCATCTTCCATTCTATTGCCGCAAATAAGCATGGCAAGTGGTGATACTCTTGTTCAATACAAAGTGTTAACTGTCAGATCCAATGCCAGTTGTTGTTCCAGCAAAATCACTAGGCTTCCTATCACATTTAATTGCAATCAATGGACACTGAAAAAATACTTAGAATCAATGAGCTCCAATGAATGTTTTTTATATCATCACATACCCCCAGAAAATAAATGGCGATCCCAGCCTCCCTGCATCACATATTATCTTCACTGGGTGGCCAACTGGAACCTTAATTTCTGCATGTTCAAAACATACTGAGATGTTTATACCAGCACACTGACCACGTCATATACTGCCCAATTTCTTACATTGACGTGGGTTATTTCCCTTAATTCTTTTGTCAAGCAAACTAAAATAGAATATAGAGCCTCTGTTTCTAAGTGAGATCTATCACCAGAGGTGAAGGAGTAAACTTTGTTACCCACTGGTACCCAACTGCAACCAGCAACCTTCTTGACCTCCTTTCCTCTCATCTTTTTCATTATCCTCCCTTTCTCATCCCACTTACCATCTGAGGCATAGACATTTGCCAACTGCACATATCGAGATCCATTATCTCCTTCAATCCTCAGAAGCTTCTCTTCTGCCTCCCTTGCAAGTTCTGCATTCCTTTTTATCTTGCATGCATTTAGAAATGTACCCAATATTACAGCATCAAGCTCTATAGGGATCCTTGCCATAAATGCAGCTGCCTTGTCAAGCTGATTAGCCCTCCCATACAAATCAATCATGCATGCATAATGATCAATATCGGGTGATATAGCATAATCCTCTGTCATTGAAGAGAAACACTTTTCACCCACTTCTACTAGGCCACAATGACGGCATGCTGTTAGAACAGCAATTAAGGTAACGGCATCAGGTCTGACCCCGCTCTCCCTCATTTCCTCAAAAAGTTGGATAGCTTCATATTCATACCCATGGTGAGCATAACCAGCCATCATTACATTGTAAAGGACAGAATCCCTGAAAGTAACTCTTTGGAAAATATTTTGCGAATATGTTATATTCCCACATTTTGAATACATATCAACCACAGCAGTTATCATCTTCTCATCCATTTCTACTCCCATTCTCAATGTGTAGGCGTGAATTTGCTTTCCAGGATCCACAGTGGCTTGTATTGCACAGGCACCAAGCACGCTGATGAGGATCAAAGCATCAGGAACTGTGGATTCCTTTGACTTGAACTCCCTGAAAAGCTCAAAAACATCCTCACATTGCTGGGATTTCACATAACCAGAAAACATAGCTGTCCAAACAACAGAATTCTTCTCTGCCAATGAATTAAAAAGCTTCCTAGCTTTTATCATGCTACCTTGCAACGAAAACCCCATGATCATAGAAGAGATGGAAAATGGATTTATTATCCCAATTGTTGCATAAAGTGACTCAGCATACTTCATACTGCCACACTTGCAATAGACATCAACAATGCCACTACTTATGAATGGATTTGAACTCATTCCTTCCTTCAAAACCCAAGCATGAACTTCTTTCCCAAGCTTCAAACTCTTTAAACCAGAGCAAGCATTCAGAACACTGCCAAAAGTGTGCTCGTTCCATCTAAACCCATCCTCTGCCATAGCCTTAAACATCTTGATTGCCTGCTTCTCATACCCATTCTGGGCATAACCCGAAATCAATGTGTTCCAAGACACCGTATCGTTTAACTCTGGTTCCCTCCAAAAAAGCTTTTGAGCCATTTCCAACTCACCCTCTCTACAACATGCAGCAACCATTGCATTCTTTGAAACCAAATCAACCAGCCCACCACCACATCCATTAAACACTGTCCATGCATCTCGTAAACACCCACATTTTGAATACATGTCAATGAGAGCACTCACCGCAAACCCATTCAAATCACTACCATTTTTAACCATAAATGAATGCAATTGCCTTCCATAAGATGAAACACCTAACTTTGCCGTCAAATTAAGCATTGTAGTGAGAGTAAACTCATCAGTTTGAACTTTGTCACCCACCGATTGCATTTCCAAAAACAATTTAATTGCATTTGTTTCATACCCATCACAGTTCACATAACCAGCTAACAAAGAGTTGTACGTGACTGAATCTTTAAGGGGAGAAGCATCGAAGAGAGCTTGTGCTTGCGTCAAGTTTTGGGCTTTTACGTAGGTACTTATTATGGCATTCCAAGTAAACACATTTCGTTCAGGCATTTCGTCGAACAGTCTGTAAGCATCTAGAATTAGACCACGTTTCGAATACAAATGAATGAGTTGATTGTATGTGAAAGTAGTTGAAGTAAAACCAGTTTTGATGGTGTGGGCATGAATTCTAAGGCCATCTTTAACTGACCTCATTTACATATATGTACAAACTGCAAACCCAGAAAACATATTTGATAAATAGGTGAAATATACTTGCTCAACTACTCGAAAGTGGCGTAAGAGCGAGAGAGTTCGGAGCCTTCTCTCTCTCCTTCAAAGTTTGCGGGTGGCTGTGTCTGCAAGGGACAACCTTCGCATATCAGGTAAGAACTCCTTTTCAGAAGCCTTTTTCCACTTTTGAAAGGGAGTTTCTACTTGTTAGAGTAATCTAACATGCTCAGCAAAAAATATTTAAATATTATATAATTAAATATATGTAAATATTATATAATTAAATATAATTAAATATTTTATTTTTATTTGAATTAATTAATTTTTAAAATTCATTTCAACCACATTCTTTATTTTAGTTAACTATTTTAACTAACTTTCAATAATATAATTTAAATACCAGGTAGCTTAATATTATAATTTAAAATTTTCACAAATACTTATCTTAATATTTCATAGGATCTAAAATTAAATATTTCATTATACACGGGAGTTTTTAGAAATTGGGTTTTCAGAGAATGAGATTTTTCAGAATTTGGGAAAAGAAATTTTTAGAATGGGTTTCAGTGGAGGTAGGGGGAGGTGAGTTTTGAAATTGGGGGAGAGGATTTGCAGCTTGGGGGTGGGAGATGAAGAAAATTACTTGGACCAACCCTTGGAGAAGACGATGAAGACAGAGGCAAGTAGTCTGGTGAGCTTATTCTCCTCTCTAGATCTGGCGAGCAACAAGGATCTTCGAGGTTTTAGCTAGTAAGATGATGAGTCGATTGGAGCAGTGTTTATGGGCAAGCCTAGTCAAATTAGCTAAAAATGAAGATTTAGCTGGTGGGTTGGAGATGCTCTTATTAGTTTTATATAATTTTTTTTTTTTTTGGTTGGAAAAAGGAGGGTGTGACCAATCGATAGTAATTTCTAGCGTGACTGCGAAAATTTCTGCTGTGAAATTTTTGATCTTGATATTACAACACCACTAAAGTCAAACAATAAATTGCGTTACTTTTGCAAATCCTTTTTGATAGTCACATGGGAGTAAACAGTGACCCTAAATGGATATGACTTATCAATATATCACTAACTCAAATGATAATTTTTGATAGTTTCATCAAACAAAATTTTAACTAAATTCAAAAACAATTAATTATTTAAAAAACTTATTGATAATTGAAATCCGAATTTATATTTTATAAACTCGAATTTAGATATACTGTCATCCAATTTGAATTATATACATGATATGTTGATAAATAAAAAATGAAAAAATGTGGGGTAATTTGTTAAAATTCAAATTATTCAAATCAAATATCTAACTTTTAACCAATTTAGCAATAAATTATGAAAATATAATCCATCAATTGATTTTTTTTTCTATTAATCCTAATTCAACTCAAGTGAAATCAAATCCAAATTCAATTAATTATTTCCTCATATAATTTGTTTATGTAAAAAAACTTTTTTTTAACAAAGTAACCATGCATCTTCAACTGAGTGACACTGAAGAGTAAAAGTGTCAGAAATTTAGAAAACATAGAATTCAGCCTTGTTTATAATGTGAGAAATAAATAAAATAAAGATAAACATATCACTCTAGCCTATCCTCATTTTATCCAGATTGTAGATATTGATGGATTTGTATGAATTACCATCATGTCCCTATTATTAAACAATATCAAACCAATAGGCAATACTGCACTGCATAGCAGCATAGGGATGGCTTCAATCAATGGAGTTGATAGTCCTGGAGGGTTTGTGACCCTCTGACAACTATTTTATTCTACAGAGAAATGCGATTGATCTTTATTTGAGGCCATGATAATCAATGACAGTACTATGATACTCTCTTCGCACTTTTTTATCAACTTGACAATTATATTAATGGTGTCTACTCTAGCATTAAGTTTTCAAATCTAGAAAAAAGATGGTCTTGTTCAAATAAATGATTAAGACTCCAAAAGTTGTAATATATATATATATATGAGTTAATTTTAACTTGTATCCCAAAAGATCACTCGAATATCAATTTGTATCCTTAAAATTTAAAAATATTAATTTACATTCTGAAAGATATAAATACGTATCAATGTGCACCTGAGATTAATTGCCGTCTATTTTGTGCAGTCAAAAAAATTAGGATTAATTATAAATTGTACCCCTCAAATTTTAAATATTTCACATTTAGGATGCAAAAATAATTTTATTCATTAATGCTTGTTAAATAGCTTTCAATTGTATGATGTCATAATATTTTCGTGTCATGTTCGAGTCAATAAAAAAATATTTCTAACACAAAAAATATTTTTGTATTGAGTCAATCACGTTGTGTCATATATTTCACATTTACGACAATTCATAAAAGATTATTTTAATATTTTTTTTCCAATAATACTCGTTAAATAACTATTTTATATCTATAATTGTGTTATTCGTATCTACCTTTTATTTAATTGGACAATTAAAAGATTTGTGTCTAACTGCAGATATAAAATAACTATTTAACGAGTATTGGGACAAAAAATAAGTATTTTTTAATTTTTTAAAAATTTTAAAAATATTTTTTATTGACTCAAACACGACACAAGATGTATGACACGATGCAATTGAGATTTATTTAATAAACATTAATGGATGAAATTTTTTTTGGATCATAAATATGAAATATTTAAACTTTGGGGGGTATAATTTATAATTAGCCCAAACTTTTTAACGGCAAAATAAATGAAGTTAGCTTCAGGTGTACTTGATACAAATTTATGTCTTTTAAGGTATAAATTAATATTTTTAAAATTTAAGGGTATAAATCAAAATCCGCCACCGTAGAGAGATTATTTTGACATATAGCAAATATAAAATAAATATATTTTTAATAATGTTAATAATTAAGTTAGCATGTAACATTTTTAAAAAATATAAAAATAGTCGAAGTCAAATATAAATGATTGTAATTAACTTTAATTTTTTTTTATGAATAATTGTAAATAGTCTTTTTTTTTTTACTATTTTTTCCTTGTAGAAATTATATATAATGGTTTTGTTTCCTTTGATGTTAAGTAAATTTTTAAGTATATCAAATATGATATAAATAATAAGCTTACTATCTTAGTTTTATTGATTAAACAAAATTGAGTATCAATTCTGGAAAAATTTTCTCCCTCCGCCCCTAGACATCACCGTTTCGAATTATAAGAACACATACAACTCCCAAAATAACTTATTATTGACTCGATTAGAGCTCGTAGTACATAAGATAATTTCTAGAAATTCTCAAACCCCTAAATGTTTTCAATATGGACCTCAATCTTTAATCGCAAAAAAATTATTAAAAATAAATAAAAACACGTATCTAATGAATCAAGAAAATTGTCATAATTTAGAATATTCTTAATTAAACTCTCAATCTAAATAAATAATAAATAAAAATAAAAATAAAAATAAAAATAAAAATATAATAATTACCATATATTTACATACTAAAGAGTTATGGAGATGAGGAGGAACACGTAATATTTTGATAAAACGGAGTCAATCTCACTTGAAAGGTCCATTGGGATCAAGTTGTTTACACAAACAAAGGTATGTGAGATAAAGAACCCTATCCTTGGCACCAGTTCTATGATTTTTGGTGTGCTTACAAAAATATTTCAATTGTTCAAGTGTACAACAACCTAGCATCTGACCCAGAAGCAAAAACAACCAATTGATCTTCTTCTTCTTCTCCGAAATGATCGGTTTCGCACTGTTTTCTTGTTCACAGAACCTGCAAGTAGGCAGAATGGGGTTCATCCAAACACTCGGAGCTCGGTCATGCATAGCGGCTTTGTTTTCTACAACAAACGATCCAACTTCGACGAACTTTTCTCTCAGATCGTACTCCATTTCATACTGTTGCTCGCATCGCTTGCAATGGACTTCGCCGGAGATGGCGAAGATTTGATTTGACAGCAAGTGGTTGAGGCTATGAACGGTGGCGCGTCGGGTAGTTGCCCATGGAAATGGGGCGGGGACGGTGTCGCTTTTTCCTTCCCGTGGAGCTTGTGTTGGGTTTCGGCGAATTCGCCGCGACGGGCCTGAGTCCTGGCGGTTCATTGATGCTAATGGCAACTCCAACGGCACCGATATTGGTGGAATGTAGATGGGGTGGGAGGGTGAGAGTTGGAGGGGGTGGTGTGGTAGTGGTTGTGACAGTAATGATTGGAATGATTGTGGTGGTGGCGGCGGAGGAGGAATAAATGATGTTGGTGGTGGTGGGAGGTGTCGAGGTCTTGTAGTTGGACGAAAAGACAAGGAAAGGGTAAGAAAATCGTTGTCTTCTTCTTCGTCAAGGTCGGAGAATTGTAGAAAGTCATGGCTGTTTTTTCTCTTTCTGTTGATATCTTGCTCATTGGTGCCCATGTCTTCTTGGTTTTTCATTAATGGAGAAGAAAAAGGGTTTTCATGCAATAAATAGATGAGGAAAAAAAAAAAGGGTTTGTTAGAGAAAGATATGTACTAGGGATAGAGATGAGGAATGTAGTAATTTCAGTTGGGTTAGACTTCTTTCAAAGTTAAAATGTCCATTCAAATTTCTTCTTGAATGATCTCATGTTGTTTAACTATGGGAAATTATTACAACAAATTGTATAGGTGCGTAATTATCAATATTACATGTATTAAGTAAGTTAAGATTTTATCGTGAGATTTAATCTTATGGACTATTCTCGACATGAATTATCCATTTTTTATTAGATTGAGGAAGAGATTCATTGAGGTATGCATAAATTGGTCCGAACACCCTGATTATTAAAATAAAATATAAAAAAATAGTTTTTTTTCCAACCTAACATAATGGGTTCTATAAATGGTTTTTTCTTGGTTGCCCTACAAATTGTCAAGTGTGAATTGACCAATGATTTTTTTATTCAAAAAAAAAAATTATATTGAGGAATGCTGAAATAGAGAAAATAATAACAAAGTAGATAGCGTAGCCATCAACCAGTGATTAGTTAAAAGGGGCTGAAATTAAGTGTTTTATTTTTTGTAATTTTGGAATTAAAAGAGGAAAAATATTTATATACTAGTTGTTGTCTGTATCTGAAGGTACATAGTAATAAATAATAAATATATTTGTATTCATATCCAAAATTAAATCATAAATATAGAGAAGAGATAAATGAATTTAAATATTAGCTTGTAGTGGAGGGTAAGAGGTGGTAGGCGATAGTGGTGATAAGAGAAGGTGATGGTTGTTGTGGGTGGCAATGGTGGTGGCAAGGGTGGTTGCGATGGTTGTGGTAAAGGCAGCAGCAGTGGTGGTGGCAGTAATGGGGGAGGCAGTGGTGGTGGTTGGGGAGGCAGGGTGGGTGGTGACGGCGACGGCGACGGTGGTGGTAGTAGCGACATGGTAGAAGCGGTGGTAGTGGTGGTGGTGGTGTAAAACCCGATAAAAAAAATATATATATTATTAATCCTAATAAAAATAAAAGGGTAAAATAATAATTAATTGTTAAATTATGGGTCAAAAACGTAAATTTAAAAAAAAAAAAAATATATATATATATATATATATAAGTGGAAGACAAAGTCTTCCACTTTTTGGGTGTTCTACAGCCGGTGAGAAAGAGAGAGTGCTTTTTGGGTGTTCTACAGCCGGTGAGAAAGAGAGAGTGAGAAAAAAACAAAAAAGAGAGTTTTTATTTTTTTTCTCTTTTCTTCCTTCTCAGATCTAGGAAAATTTAACCGTTTAATCGCTTCGGGCCAAGAACTAAAGTTGCTCTACTCAGCGAGAGCTACGCAACCACACCAAAGATCGTATTTTTCTTCGAAGGTATATCAAAGCCGATAATCTAGACCTAAAACTTAGGAAGTTAAATTTGGGCTTCCTTGGCGTTCTTGTAAGTGGTCTCACGCTACGAGAGGTAGGGTTTCCCCTATTTAGATTTAATTTCAACTTAAAATATGACATATGGAATGGGTAGATTATGAGTGTATATCACATGTTAGGTCTTGACTAGTGGGTCAAATATAGAATTTATAATTAATCTTGTGATTAATAAAATTCTATTGTGATTAACTTGGTATAAGTTAATGTTAGTAGTTTAAAGCATGTTAATTGTATGTTAGCATTACTTTATATTTTAATGGAAGATCAAGTTTAATAAAATTATTAACTTGTTATATGATTGTGAAATAATATATATATGTTAAATGATTATTTAACATATGATTATTTTGGTGGACTTGTGCTTATGTTAAACATGTTGTCATGTTGCAAGTCATAACATGCTTGAGATCGTGTTAAAATGTCATTATATTGTATTCATTATGTAATAGACATTGTATTTCATTATGCATGGGTTGCACTACATTCATGGGCATTGACATGGGTGAGAGTGTATGCATGGTATGAAATCAATCACCACGTAGGTGGTTGAACGTGGACTCGGAAAAGTCGCACCAAGGTTCGGTTGAGTCGCACGAGAAATTAAATGGATAAATGTGTTGGGGACAGCACGAAGGGCTAGATTCTCCCTCGGGTGCAAGACCCGCTTACTTGGTTTATACACTTTCCGGCGGTGAAATTCCAAAAAAGTGTAACGGCGGAAACGGAGCCGCAGGTGGGATGTCCTGAAGATCCGTTGATGGTTGGTGTCCCATTGGTGTAATACCATAAATCATCTCCCCACAAAGACACAAGAAAATGAATTAATTAGCATTGAGTGTACATAACACCAATGATGGGGGCTTGGAATGCTCGGATACATACGCATGACATTGCATGTGTTATGGGAGCTCAGGATGGGGCTCGGGGTTGGTATTGCTTGCGTGAGTCTCATCTCATGGCATGACATGATCTATAACATTCAATCATAATAGACATATTTAAATGAATGTATCAAATGATTGTTGCATGTGACATTCCATATTCATTTAGGTTGAGAGGTATTCTCTATAGGCGTTACCCTATTGAGCGTTAGCTCACCCTTTATGGGAACATTTTTCAGGTATCGCACAGGCTTCCACCGAAGGCGAGGCCATGGGCCCGCTTTGACGACAGAGCCGGTCTGTGGCTTTTATTTTGACATTGTAGTCCCTTGTTTATACTTACTTTTGGCCTTGTATAATTTTTGTAACAAACATTGTTTATATTTACAAAGGCATGTATATGGGACTCTTTTGGGACATTTATTCTTTTACGAATAAATGTATGTACTGATAATGATTATGGTAGTATTCGAGACTATACAATTGTGAATGGATAGATAGACCCGGTGTGGTCAATGTTGTACAGGTTGCGTTTTGGGTAGAGCTCCTTGTACAAAGGAGACTCTGTCCAAATTTTGTTAAGTTATGGATCCCAAGAAATGGGGCATAACGGTGTGGTATCAAATTACACGATATCCACCAGTATTACACAGGTCGATGGATAACCAATCGGATAATTACAGACACCCGGACTTTGGGGTGTCACAGTTTGGTATCAGAGCCTAGGTTCACGATTTACCTAGGGCTTACAGGGCATGGGTTTAAGTCATTGCTTCCAGTTTGTATTGCATGTTAAATGTATTAAATCTTTCATGCTATGTGTTATGAGATTATATGCATGATTAAATGTATATAGGAATGAGGTACTATGGTTAGAAACCATGAGTTGGGAAGGAAAAGGATGTGTAAGCCTATTGGTTGCACATTTACCGATAGGTATATATTCTACTGTTTTAACTTTGATCCCTAACCTTGAGATACTAAGTTAGTGGTCTATTGCTATCTTATGTGTGTGTAGATGGCAACAAGAGGAAGGGGACGTCGGGGTGGACGAAACAACCAACCACCACCACCGGCTTTCGATCAACAAGCCTTTATGGAGGCTATGGGCGCGATGACCGCCACCTTTTTGCAAGCCAGCTCTAATGTGGGCCAAGGAGGCTCGAACAACCTGCAGAAGTTTAGGTCCCACAACCCACCAACTTTTGTAGGAGGAGGGGATCCGATGGTAGCTGATAATTGGTTCCAACAGGTGGACAAAATTTTGGAAGCTATGGAGATTGTATCTGATGCCACGAAGATACGATTGGCCACTTTCCAGTTTGAGGGAGACGCCCATCAATGGTGGACATGGGCAAAGCCGATAGACATCGGAAGGATGACATGGGGAGAGTTTCAAGAACTCTTCATGAAGAAATATTTCCCACCAGCTGTTCGGGAAGTCAAAGCCCATGAATTTCTAAACTTGAAGCAAGGAGCGATGACGGTTATGCAGTACGTGGCCAAGTTCACAGAATTGGCACGTTTTGCGGATGACTACGTGGCCACTGATTTGGCCAAGGTACGGAGGTTTGAAAATGGCCTAAAGCTATCCATCCGCGGGAAGATTGTTGGCCACAGGTTGCACGAATTTGATGAGATGGTCGAGACAGCCATGGCTATAGAGAGAGAGGTGGAAGATGCCAAGAGGATTCGGGAGGCTGGATCAAAGGACAGGAAGAAGGAGGGACAGTCCTCCACTACTAGCTCGGGGAAGAGACAGAGGATTTCTACCCCACAGGGATCACAGGGACAGGGTCGAGGCTATCAGGGTCAAGGCCAAGACCATGGTCAATCTTCCCAAGGCGGGAGGAATTCCAGGGGTACACAACAGGGAGGCCCACGGATATGCTACTACTGTCACCAGCCAGGACACTTGAAGAGAGAATGTCCTCAGAGGCAAGGATCACAGAGCTACGGGGCATCTCAGTCCCAATCATCAGTGGGGCATCCACAGACCTACTTCATTCCTCCCTACCCCACCAGGGGACAGGGAAATCAGTTGCAATTTCAGGGTACGGCACAGGCCCCTACCACTTCACGAGCGGGGACTCCGCAGTCAGGCCAGGGCATGGGCCGAGGCCGGGGACAGGGCTTTCAGGCCGGGACTTCAGGGACCCAGGGGCGAGTCTTCGCCATCACACCACAGACTTTACCGGCAGATCAGTCGGTAATTCAGGGTACATTTCTTCTCTCTAGATTATGGACAAAAATATTATTTGATTCTGGTGCATCACATTCTTTTATTGCTACATCATGCCTACGAGACTTGGGTATAGAGGCCGAGACTCTGGATGAGCCCATGTATGTGAGTTCACCCCTAGGAGACAGAGTTTGTATTGACAAGATATGTCGGGGTTGTGAGTTGGAGATCGAAGGAACCCAACTTACTGTTGACCTTAGGGTTATCGAGATGACGGAGTTCGATGTCATACTCGGGATGGATTGGTTGGCGGCACATAAAGTCGTCATTGATTGCGAGCGTAAGAGGGTTACAGCTTACACTTTAGACGGGATTTGTTTCAAGTTTCAGGGGGAGAAACACAATGCCTTACCCCATGCCGTATATGACTCCCGATGGCACGGGCAATTGATAGGTTGGCTTGCTAGCC